GTATCTAGTAACACAAATTAATCTCAATGCAATATATGTTAAAAATTTCGATACGGAGATGTTGAGTCATAATAAATTAGAGTATATTTAAAAAATCCTAAATATAATAATTCAGCTTCAAAATTAGATGTAAGTCATAATGAACATGTAAATAATAGCCAAAACAGTGGGTTAAAATATGATGGAAAAATTAATTTACTAAATAATTCTTCAATTTGCGATTACAACTTTCCAAAATTTTACTAACTTACAAAACAAATAAAAGCATTTTTGAACAGAAAACCCAGAGAAATTTGGCGTTCACAAATCCACCAAATTTGAAAGATGTAAAGATTCAGGAAGGTGCAAAGAACAAGTTTATTTGCGATGTCGAAGAGAATTGTACAGAAGAATGTAAATGCTATACCAGAGAGGTCGATAAAACCACATTCATAGATTGTTCTAATTCCCATCTTGAAACCATTCCAACAAGGGTTTTTCGAAATGCTAGTATTCTTCTAATGAATATCAATAGAAATTCATATCTTTCTGGTTTATCCAAAACAGATTGGAAACATCTAAGGGAAATGTCCTTTGAAAACAACCAAATCATATCTGAAAATTGGGAATTACCACCTTCATTGGAATATATAAATTTGAAAAACGACAGACTCAGTTGGCTTTCGCCATACACCTTCAATTATTCAGCACCCTATAGTGATTTTAAAATAAAACTTGGAGGTAATCCCTGGAAATGCAATTGTAATTTGACAAGTATGAGATATTGGTTGATATCTTTGAAAGGTAAAGTGATAGACCCAGAAAAAATAATCTGTGAAGATCCTATCATAAAAAAAGGAAAATACGTTTACCCAAGAATTGATAAAATTCAATTGAATAATCTTTGTCATCCCCATGAAAAGAAATAGCTGAATCTTATACAACAATTTTGAAATCCTAATTCCAGCTAGCATACTATTAATAGCCTTTATCGTTCTCAATATCTATTACAAGAATAAGCAAATAGTTTGGGCATACCTATATATCCACGCATGTAAACTGATCCTGTGTTTCTTCAATGAAGAAGAGATGGATGAAGACAAGAAGAACGACGCCTTCATCTGTTACAGCCAGAGGATCGAGATGTCGCGGTAGAACTAAGCGCTGAACTCGAGTCCAAGGTTCCAATCTACGATCTCTGTATCCACGAGCGGGATTGGACGTCCAGCCTTTATCCAGGTCAATTTGTGACGATCAAACTATTGAATAAAATATTTATTGTTCGTAAATTTTAATCGTTTTTCCTCTACACATGTTCTTCACATACACCAATTCATCTATCAATTTTAAAATTCCTTTTGGCGTGTCGTATGTTTATATATATATATATATAAAATATAGATAAGTATACCCAGAGGATATATATAAAATAATAATATAAAGTATTTATATATATGTGGGATGGTTGCGTGCATGTTGGTGTGGCTTGTGAAAAGGCCGCTGATAAAATTATGATTATTTTATAAAATAAATTAATTTATTTGAAGCCAGAAATATAAAGAGAAAAGGAGTAACGGCCGTTGTGAGCTAGCCTTGTTGTTGATGACGTGAGTGGCCAGAAAGTCCCGGATGACGCCCGCGCATGCGTAGTGACGTGTTCTGCCAGCTTGCGCTTGCCGAGGCGTAGTGTGGTCGCCACACTACTGCCCGTATGTGTATTGAAGCTTTGTCCGCGCGCGCTGAAGCAAAGTGTGGTCGCCACATATATATACATTTTTATTTTCTATTATATATATACAGTATTTATATGTATGTACTTAGTGTGGCATCTCTCCCTTTAATTATGTATCAAAACGATGTATTATGTTCATCATCCTAGTAAAAAAACCTTACTAATAATGATGAAAAATAAGCCACAACGCAAGTTTCAGATAATTCAGTTAAAAGCTAACCTGTAAACCATGGTTTTGGGCTATGGCCCTCATTAGTACAGTAGCGATTTGGATTTCATAACATCCTATGGGAGGTTATGGAATCGAAGCCGCTCCTATAGTGAAGAAGGCCTTATCCCCAAACCATGGTATACAGGTAACCTTTTGTATGAATTTGGCAAAACTGGTGTTGTGGCTTCTTCATCACTTGTAAAGTTTTTTAACTAGGGTAGTGTCCATTATATATCGTTCTGATGCGTAATAAAAGGGAGAGATGTCTCACTAGGTACATGAATATCATCCTCCCGCAACTTTATATATGTTATATTATATATATAAAACGACATTTAAAGATTATCTCGCATGAGTTTCTTTTCAACGAAAAATAAAAATTTATTCCAAGGTGAAATATTGATTATTTCAAACCTTAGGGATGAGGTATGAAAGGATGAATTGTGAAGAGTAATGATAAACGAAAAAATAAAAGTGTCCAGGGATGGGAATCATTACTCTTCACAATTCATCCCTTCATACCTCATCCCTAAGGTTAGAAATAATCGATATTTCTCCTTGGAATAAATTGTGATTTTTCGTTGAAAAGAAACTCATGCGGGATAATCTTTAAATGTTGTTTTACAATCACAAGCCGCATTATATTGTATTATAAATTTTATATATATATAGTTGAAATTATCTTATTTTATCATTTTTTAAAGCAGTTAAGTCCTCTTTAATGACTTCTTCAAGTCAACGAACATTTATATACATATATAAGATGAGCCATAAAAACGATGTATTTTATAATAAGCGTATAAATCGCTTTTTATAAAACTAAAGATAAAAGCGGCGCGCGTGCTTGGAACAATCATCATGAACTACAACTTTATGTCCTTTTATATAAAGCAAGGTTTATGTTCACAAAATTTTTATAATATTATTAAAATATATATAGTGCTATAAATTGTGAGAGCTGTGTGTGTGTGGCTTTGTCACCGACCCGAAACCGATAGCTTGCGGCGACGGTCAATAGATGGCGTCTAGTTTTGACGTTTATTTTGACAGGAGAGGCATCTTAGGCTTTTACACATATATATGTGTTTGTGTGTGTATAATAAATTAATATATATGTAAATATATTAGGTAATAAAAAGGCATATATTAGATTGAATAAAACAATTTATTTGCCAATTATGCCTTTTTTCCTAAAGATTTAAGTATGGATTTCTCTATTTTCAAAACGATATACAATTAAACCTGTCTATAGCGCCCCATCTTGGGGCTCACCAAAAAAGGGTGTTATAGAGAGGGAGTGCTATAGACAGGTCACTTTTAATGTAAATCGCATCGTACTACGTATTTAAAATCGGGCGCTATTTAGAGGGGGCGCTATAGACAGGTTTAACTGTATATGAATGAGAAACAGTAAACATCTTTCTCTACGATTTGTTCTTTTATAAAAAAAATTGCATCAATTGGGATCGTACTTAATTTTAGAGAGGGGAGAGAATAATATAACAACTCTAATAAAATTACGAGAGTATATGCAATTATTGTAGAACGAAATTTGAAAATATCCCGCATGTGTTTCTTTTGAACGAAAAATCGAAATTTATTTTAAAAGGTGAAATAACGATTATTTCTAACCTTAGGGATGAAGTATGAAAGGATGAATTGTGAAGAGTAATGCGGGATATTTTAAAATGTCGTTCTACAATCATAGGCCGCATTATATTGTATAATATACAATTATGTCTCGACGATGCTTATTCATTGTACATAATTGCCAAACGATCAAGGACTTCCAAACATCCTTCCCGGAAGATGATATTTTGAAGCAAACGGTGAGAATGAATCTCATTCAAGGACGCCAGTCGTCGCTGGCATCGTCAGAGTGGTGCGAGAACGCAGGGATGGTGCTGCGTGTCTTGTTGCTGACCGGTAAGTACTGACTGAGTCATACTCTAACTGATGCTTCTACGTCTCCTTTGTCTAGATGCTTTTCCTTTTCTAAATGCTAGTATGATTCTCCTTCTAGATTTTCTATACGATTTTCCTTTGATAGTTTTACTACCTGAATGCTGGTTTAGGTTTTGTTTGGATACAATCAATCATTTGTCAATGTCTGAATAATAATATTCTAGTCGTTTGTTGCTGTCTATAATTTTTACTTTGTTAGTTTGACTGTCGAAATTCTGTCAATTGTTGTTTTAGATATCTATTGAATACCAAGATTTATTCTTTTCACTGTTAAATTTATCATGTTGTTGTTTTATATATCTAGAGAATATTGAGCTTTTATTAACTTTACTGTGAAATTCTCTATCATGGTTATTGTTTTATATATCAATAGAGTACCGTGATTCATTATAAGGTTGTCCCAAAAATTCGTGTTTTACTTAAAACGTTTTTTTCTTATTACTTGACGAATACTATTATTACGGCGAATACATAATACAATTACTTATACAAAGATATTATACATAAAAGCGAATAATATTGGTATTTAGATTTTTTGCAAGCGTTTACGAACTTTTGGGACAACCTTGTATTTTCACTGTCAAAATTCTGTCATGTTGTTTTAGATATTTATAGAATATCGTGAATTATTAATTTTACTACGAAATCATATCTTGGTAGTTGTTTTAAATATCTTGAGAGGGAATGTCGTGTTTTATTAACTTCACTACGAATTTCTATCATTGTTGTTGTTTTAGATATCTATAGAATTGTCAATTGTGTTAATTTCATTGCGAAATTTTGTCATCGTTGTTACTCTAGATATCTATTGAAATATCCTTTGTTTATTTTACCGACAAATTTCTATCATAGGTGTTGTTTTAAGATAACTATATAATCGTCATTTGTTAGTTTTAATGTAATTAATTTCTGGCGTGGTCGTTGCTTAAAGATGTCTTTATATTTGTCCTTTGAGTTAATTTTACTGTCGAAGTGATGGTATAGTCGATATTCATGTCTATAAAAAGGAAAAAAGGTTTGACATTGATTCCATTGTCAAATGCTGGCATGGTTTTTGTCTGTGATGTTCCTATAATTGTCATTTGTTAAGTTCATTGTTAAAATGCTCGTGTTGTCATTTTTGTGGGTAGGTGGTAGGCTGGTTAAACCGTTTGGTTTTCGACCACTACGACCCGGGTTCGATTCCCGCATTGGACACTTTTTTCTGATAAAAAAAAATGCTCCAATGGCCCCCGATTCTTGCAAAAGTCCAACCCCACCAGCGAGTGCAAGTAACCAAACGGGGCTCTGGCACATTTGTAAGTGCAAAGTCGAACTGCTTTTCACATGTGTAGACATGTGATGCGCTTACAGTAAAAGCAGTCGCTAACTACCCACCATGATTATCATGGCCTGTACCACGTGTACTAGGGATAATTAAAAAATAAAATAAAAAAGACATGAAGGGTTTTGCATTGTTAATAAAACAGTAGAAATGATGGTTTGTAGTTCTTGATTCCCGTATATCAACATATCAACGTTTGTTTTTTATTGAATTCACTGTCGAAATATTAATGTGGTCGTTTTTATCAACTTTGCATGCAATCATATTTCATTATTCTATCAAAGAGAGGAGAGAGGGAGAGAGAGTACATTTTGGTGTTGTTTTTAAGATCTAAAAGAAGGTATTTCTTAATTTTACAGTCTAATTTCAAATGTATTTTATATATCTATATGGTATTACTCTTTCTAATCATCATATGCAATTAATTTTGTCGCTCTATGAATGACTTATGTCGAGTACCTAATGTATAATCGACTACAAACGAATTATTCTAGTTTTTCAAATAAAAGATAATTTCGGCCAGTAAATCTTTTTAATTACTCTAGAATAATTTTTAACGCTTTGCCAAATGTTTTAAATTTTGTTCGTTCCTGACGAGAACAAAAGATCTTTTTGTCGAAACATCGAGATAATAAAAAGATTTACTGGCCGAAGTATTTTTATTTGAAGAACTATGAATGCTGGACAGGCAGCCTCTATCTTTACGATATTCTAGTTTTATTATATTGTAAAATCCCTATTTCCATTTTTATTGTTCAAATCATGATCTTTCCACTCTTGATATTAATTATATTTATACTAGACGAATGGCCCGGGCAACGCCCGGGTTTTACCCGAGTGCGTATATATTTTAAAAACGTTTTAATTCAAATACTATTCGTTACAATTATAAATTGGCGCCATGGATGTCACTCTTGTGAAACGTCCCGTTCCAAACTGTGTGTTTTTAAAATGTTTTAATTAAAATACTATTCGTTACAATTATAAATTGGCGCCGTGGATGTCTCTCTTGTGAAACGTCCCGCCCCAAACTGTGTGTGTCTTGAAAATATAAAAATAAAAATGTGAATTTTCATAAAGATTTCATCATGTCGATTTTTTTTTGCATTTCACCTACTAAATCGATAGAGATAATTACATTTGCAACATGAACTTAGGTATATTGACTAAATAGAAAACTGCATAGTAATAAAGATCATTTTTTAAAGGCACCATATCGTTTTTTTTCAATAAAATCGAAACAAAAATTAACGATAAATAACGATAATTGCCTTAAAAAGAAATTGCCTTAAAAAAAAGAAACATTCGCGGTGATTTTGTCTTGCATTCGTTTATACAATTATTATATACGAATGACCCGGGCAACGCCCGGGTTTTACCCGATTAAATGCTTTTATTCAAATACTATTCGTTACAATTATAAATTGGCGCCGTGGCAGGCGAGCATTCTACCACTGAACCACCGATGGTTATGAAAAATCCCATCCGTGAGCTTCAAACAGACAAACAGACAGAATAAGGCAAATATATAAGTAGATCGTTTGTTCACTTGATAAGTTTTTTTTTTTAAACGCCTCATCCAAACATTCTTTGTTGCTCTATCAACATTCTTTATTGAGCGTCTAAAAAGTCTTGTGAATTCATCTCTTTATTATATGTTTTATTCTACTGTCGTTTGCTGTTCAATCAATCCAGATCGTAAAAATTGATGTCTCTTTTTTAGATGTCTTAATACTCTTTGTTATTTTGTCAATAATTTTTACAGATTCTAAGAGATGGTGAAATCGTTATTTTTAAGGATTTATATACTTGTCTTACCTATTTTTTAATCTTTAAATACTATTTAATAATTTATCGTAATTTAAATAATATATTTATGCCGTTCGTTATTTTTCAGTATTTTAAAAGATAGAACGACATTTGAAAATATCCCGCATGTTTGTTTTGAACGAAAAATCGAAATTTATTTTAAGAAGAAATAACGATTATTTCTAACCTTAGGGATGAAGTATGAAAGGATGAATTGTGAAGAGTAATGATAAACGGAAAAATGAAAGTGTCCAGGGATGGGAATCGAACCCACAGTGTTCCGCTTACCGGGCCGATGCCATGTCCACTAGGCTACCATGGACATATTTTTCAATTCGTAAATATTATATATAGTGATTTTTATACAATATAATGCGGACATTTGAAAATATCCCGCATGTGTTTGTTTTGAACGAAAAATCGAAATTTATTTTAAGGAGAAATTACGATTATTTCTAACCTTAGGGATGAAGTATGAAAGGATGAATTGTGAAGAGTAATGATAAACGGAAAAATAAAAGTGTCCAGGGATGGAAATCGGACCCACAGTGTTCCGCTTACCGGGCCGATGCCATGTCCACTAGGCTACCATGGACATATTTTTCAATTCGTAAATATTATATATAGTGATTTTTATACAATATAATGCGGCCTATGATAGTGGATTCGTTTTTCTGTGATGATGTGATATATATTAGATGCTCTAGCTGATCGTTTTATATCATTAGAATTTTTGGAAGGAAATTTTCTTTTCAAAAAGGTAATGGGTACTTCTCTAGTACAATAGTACGGTTTTTTGTTATTATAATATAAAGTGTCAGTTAGCTAAAACTATCTTTAATTATGGATATGAATAATTCTCTTTCATAGTACTGAAAATACTTTTTGAATATTGATGACTCATCTATCATATTATATTGGAAATGGTGTTGCACGCGTTCATGAAACTTCCTTTTTGATCTACTGATTATTTTCAACCTTGCCTCGTGTATTACTACCAACTCTGACATTTCCTGATAGGATGTTCATTAACGGCAACTCAAATTAATAAACGAGAAATATATATATGGATTATTTATGGAGTAGTAAATAGGAGTAGTATGGATAATTATAGTAGTTTTATTCAATTGATACACACACATGTTTCTATCCTGAAGTTCGAACAAGCATACTTACACTATATTTATAAGGACATTTGTTTGAAACTATAAAGAAAGAATAGTACAAAAGTAAAATTTGTACAGTTTTAGGTTAATAAATTAGGAAAAAGGTATCTCATCGTGAAACTAAAATTTGTTGATGGCTTTCTACATCTGTCTGAATAGATAACAACTAAACGTTGATTTTAATAATTCCCCAAATACCCTTTCCTGATTAAATGAATAAAAGATAACCATGTACGCGTTTTAGGCTGTTATCCCTTATTATATTTGACTAATTCTGGAATGATTAAAAACTAACGATTAATTGATAATTATTCTGATAGATAGGCCAACCATCATCAACTTTTAGTTATACAATCACAGGAGAAAACCTTTTTCTTAAAATCTTAAAGAATATTCAGGAAAGGATCTAAGAGACAGAGATGGACTACGGCAGGTAGGCTATCGGTGATCACATCCCGGAAATCTCATCCCGGATGAAGTGAGTTCCTTAAAGACAATCTTTAGTTCTCAAACATCTTGTTTGCTTTGTAGGTATCTTCTTCTAAATTAAATGGTTAGAATTCTATGATGACAATCAGAATCAACAACAAGTCTCAAAGGATAAGTGTCTTCTTTTATTACCAACATTTCAAGCTTTTAGGTATAACGACCTTCTACAATATATCAAATATGAAATGAATCTTAGCTGTTCAATAGATTTATATATAAGTGATATTTACATAACTCCAAATGACAACTATTTAACATATATGACTTAATATAAAATGAAAGGATTTAAAAGCACGAATGTTTCTTTTATATATAATACAAACTTCTACTGCCCTTACTGCGATGAAAAAATATATTGGGAGAGCTTGGCTCCTCAGTGGTGAACCCTCCCAGCGGTTTCGCCAATTTAATCCACCAGACCGCTTCTCAGAGCTCTAATACTGTATTGGACAATTCTGCTTATATACGCAGCACTGAAGGATGGAATCTCAGAAATGGTTTTCAAGAAAACTATGGACATAAGCTTATAGGACAGTATGGCGCGTTATTGCTTTGTGTTAATATATGACTTAATATCTCACTTGTGTATAAATCTATTGAACAGCTAAGATTCATTTGATATTCCTGTAGAAGGTACGTTATACCTGAAAGCTCGAAGTGTTGGTAATAAAAGACGACACTTATCATTGGAGACTTCTAAATTGTTTACATAATCTTCTTGTAGTCAGGTTAGGTTCTCTTTACCTTTTTTTTCATCTTACAATAAAACGCAGTCTCCGAGGATAAGTTTCTTATTTTATTAAAAAACTTGAGAGAAGCTTTCGGGTTCTGTGGACCCTTCAACAGGAGCATACAAACGAAATTTATCTGAAATAAATAAATAAAAAATCGAGATTCATTTCGTAGTATACTCCTGTAGGGTTTACAGTAACCGAGAGCTTGAGAGAAAGTTTAATAAAATAAAAATAAAACTTATCCTCGTAGACTGATTCTTCCGATATATATTTTTATCTTCTTTGATTGAAATACTTTTTTCCAATTTCCTTTCAAATTTTGTGATCAATTTTTAATATATTTCCTGACCGCGTTGAAATCTGGTATTTTTAAAGACTATTTAATTCCTAATAATATGTAAAGGGTGAAAATTTCAAACTTTCAAGTGGCCGTGATGGTCGGAAATAGAATAGAGAATTTGAAAATTTCTCGAAAAAAAAAAAGAACGGTATTGCTTATATAATTCTGGTATTCCATAAAAATAAATATATCTTGTAGACAGTATGAATTATAGCTATTTACAGAAAATTATATAATCATTCAAAATAATTATAATACAAATTTAATCAAGTTTATAAAATTAATGGATATTATATTAAAAACAAAAAAGACATATTCTGGCCTCTCACATGATC